TACTCTTCAAGCCCTAAAAGGAACCAATATCGAACTCATCATCGGCGTTCCTAATGATGCTCTGCAATCCCTCAACCAACAAAGTGCAGCGAACACATGGGTTATGAACAATATTCAAAATTACTCCGACGTTAGGTTTAGATACGTCGCTGTCGGCAACGATGTCAATCCAAACAAAGGGAATAGTGAATACGTAAGTTCCTTACTTCCGGCGATGCGAAATCTACACAGCGCCGTTACAGCCGCCGGCCTAGGGAACCAGATTAAGGTGTTGACGGCAATCTACGGCGGTTTGTTAGGCGTCTCCTTTCTACCAAGCGATGGCGCGTTTAATGACAATGCACGAGAGTTTATTGAGCCGATAATCAGATTTCTAGCTGAAAACAACTCGCCAATGCTTGTCAACATCTACACCTATTTTGCATACGCTAATGCAAACGGTAATTCCAATCTACCGTATGCGTTGTTTACGGCATCGGGAACGATTGTGAAGTATAATGGCCGTCAATACTTTAACCTTTTTGACATCATTTTAGATGATATTTACGCAGCTCTAGCATCTCTTGGTGGAGAAAATGTGGAGATTGTTGTGTCGGAGAGTGGGTGGCCATCGGCAGGAGATGATGCAGCGACAACTCGGAATGCATAAATTTATTATGGGAATTTGATTTCACATGTCACGGGAACAACAGGAACACCGGCGAAGCCTGGAAGATCGATAGAGACTTATTTGTATTCAATATTTGATGAAACAATGAAACCTGGACAGAAATCGGAGAAACATTTTGGGCTTTTCTCCCCAGATGGACGACCCAAATATCAATTAAGCTTCAATCTCATCAGATCAAGAAATGGAAAGGTAAGTGAAAGATATGGACTTCTCGCTGCCTTCTCTATACAAGGATTTTGAGTGGCTGTCAAATATGTACAAAAGATACCGCACCGAACCAATTAAGTTGGTAGCCAATATGTTTGTTAGTCAGCATCTTTGGTTGGTAGTACCGTACCCATTGTGTAATCGGTAGTAATTGTATAGAATTTTGAATACCGTAGTACTATATATATATATATATATATATATATATATATATATATATAGGAGTAAGATCAAATGAGAACACCTAAAAGGTTGAGAACGCGAGAACAGATCACAACCTTATAAATAATTAGATCTATGGCTATTATCAACCGGACCATTTATGAATATTTATAAAACTGATGTGCTAAATATGTAACTTTGAAATGGCAAGAAGGGTACAATAGGAAATCCATATAATTTAATTAAATAGAAATTCCTATAATTTCTCTCTCTCTCTCTCTCTCTCTCTCTCTCTAGAAAACCCTAATCTAATTATTTTGAAAAAACCGGCCGTACACCCCCACCTTCTTCACCACTGTTTTCGTTCATCATCTTCTGCCATCCTCCATCGTCGACCATCGCACAATTAAAATCCCGGATAAAACAACAAAATACTAATTGCGTTTTGGGTGGGTGTGTGTGGTCATAAAAATCAGAAGAGACGAGGATCTGAGACGAGGATACGGGAGTGGATTCGAAGCATCAAACACAATTTGAGGTAGTTTGGTTGAAGGAAATCGAGATACAGAGGGAATAAATCGAATGCACATGGGTTCTCAATCTCCATGTGTTGTTGTGTGGCCACGAGAACAGAAATAAGAGCAGGGTAGTCGCCGATGGCGGCAACACTGACCACCAGAGAGGGAAACGACGGAGCTCAACCGGAGGTGGCCGGAAAAAGGTACGAGTTAAATCATTTTCGTATTTCTGTTGTCCAAGTTCATAATGTCGATTGATATTAAGCCCTTGTAAAATTTCCTTGATTGTCATTTTAACATAAATTCAATTAATAAGCTTCCTTCCTAAGCTTCTGATTTCTCGTTTCGATCCACCAGGTCAACAAAAAAATTAATTGAAATTGAGGATTGTCTTTGTTGGCATTGTGTGGTTTGAATTTTGAGATGCGACAACAACAAAAATCAACATTTGGAGCATTTTTTTGTTGCGTTTCCAGAATTGCCTTTTGAAGATTATCAATTGCAATCGATAATTAATTGAAATTGAGGATTATTTGTCTTT